ATTTTTCTCCTCCTTGGTAGCTGGTGCAGTGCAGTGTTTTGACTTTCGGCCTGGGAACAGAGCTGATAACAATGATGTTTTGGTTTGGCCAAGGACTTTGTGAGGCTCATGGTCTGCCAGGGAGGAGGGGAAGCCGGGAGGAAGCAGAGACAGGAGACCTGACCCAAACTGACCAAAGAGGTATTCCACACCACAGCACGTCATGCCAAGGATGTAACTGGGAGTGCCCCAGGAGGGCTGGTAGACTGTGTGGTTGGAGGAGGTATCAGTCAGAGCTTGGTCGGGCTGGGGGGGCGAGTTATCAGTTGGCTGGTGGTGAGGTGTTGTATTCTCTTCCCTTGTTATTTCCTCTATCATTGTTGTTATTGGTGGTAGCAGTAGTGATTTGTGCTATACCTTAGTTACTAAACTGTTCTTATCTCAACCCGTGGGAGTTGCATTCTTTTCGATTCTCCTCTCTGTCCCTCCGGGAGTAGGGGGAGGGAAAGAAGGGGAGGAGTAAGTGAACGAGTTACCTGACTGGGTTTAAACTATGACACTGTGTGAAAAGACGCTACTTCTTACTTCAGAGGCATTTGTTAATTTTCATGACAAAAAGTCTTTGCAATCACATTAAGTGCAAGAATTTTGACATGGAAAGGTGATTCCTCCCAAAGAGATGAGAGGGACGTGCAAACAAGGTTCTGAATGGACATACTGTCACAATTTTACATGGAACATCAACAATGCGTCCCTAGAATAATATGCTTTCATTTTATCTTTTATAAGTTCATAGAATATTCATCTTCTTCCCCAGCAATGCTGTGAGATCAATCTCAGCACAACTGTTAGTTCATAGGAAACGTAAACTGAAACTGATTACAGACATGAAAGAGGAAAGCCCCATTTCATCTAATCCAAGAGAAAGTGCAGCATGGAAAAAAGAAGTCAGAGAATAGGTCTTTTGTAGTTTGTTAACCTAAGATATCATCATATAACAGCAATAACTATTATAATAGATAATTTCATGGTGAGATAAATCACTGAGTACTAAATATTATAATGAGACATGAAGATATTAGAAATTCAAATTCAGTGAAAGATACAGACTAATTCACAGTATTCAGTGCAGTCCTAGTGCTATCCACAGAGGTTTACCAATGGGCACTGGATAATGTAAGCTAATGAGTGCTCAAACCAGTGATGTGGCAGAGTAGAAGTCATGGTTCTAAACCCAGGCAGTTACCCAGCAACCTCATTTGGTATTTTCCAGTATCCCAGCCACCTATGCCCTGTATGCTGCGAGGATCTCAGCAGCAGTAATGCACTGTGTGAGCCTCATACTTCTCTTTCCATTGACAGTAACAGATATTTATAGGTGTGCTATCTTTCTAGTGTCAGGCCAAAATTTAAAGGACTATCTTCTGATAGGGTGCAGTTTTGTTTCCGTTTTATTCTGTCACCTAGTATGGGTATTTACTGGGATGCAATTTCAACTTGCACTTCTGTGGAAAGAGGCCATCATTTGTTTATTTTAATGGGTATTACCAAATTTATTTTGACAGCCTGTCTCCCAGAACCATGTCCCTGGAAAAGTGTTTTACCTCCAATAAGTTTTCTGTATCTCACCTTAATCAACTTGTGAGCACCTAGCAAGAGCAGCACAGGAAGTATATAATACCAAGGCTTGATAAGAAAAGAGAGAAACTGGAAAAGATCACACTTAAGACAATCACCAATACAGAGATGATCAGGAGGGAACAAAATGTCCCCTGCAATCTTATAAACTCATTGTAAACTAAACTATTTTGATGAGCTCCTCTCTTTTATTTTTCCTTCATTCCCAAAGGTTGCATGTATTTTTCAGTTCAGGCATGGAAATTATTTTCTTCACATCCAGAAGTGATCAGATTTGCTTTCTGCAAGAGCTATTACCACAGCAGAAATCCTCTAAAGGGTTGAGAAAGCTGAGTATTTCCCATTACTTTCCATTCTAACCAGGTACATACTTTACAAAGTTTTGAAGTCTACAATTAAATAATGGATTCTGTGGAAGCATTGGTGTCCAACACTATGGAAGGTTTTGGTCTAAGACTCAAAAAAAAAAAGGTCAAAACCAAGAAAAATAAAACCAAACCCAAACCAACACTTAACACAAAAATTCTTCCTTGCCTTTGTAGAACAATAAAGTATCTATTTTTTGCCAAAGCTTTCAGAATTTGGAGAACCTGGGAAAAAGGTTTTAGAAAAATAGTGTGAGATTTTAGCTTTTCTGAAGCAAAGATTCATAAAATCTGAAAATTGGAAAATATGATACTAGTAATACAAGGCTCATACTTGTAAAAGTAGGCTCATAGAAGACATTAAGTGGCAGTAGTAAATATTGTAACAAACTTTTAGTGACTTCTTGGTCAAATTTGCGGCTGTAAGTGCTAGGATTTTGCAATTTTTATTAAAAAAAAAAAAAAGGACTTATAATCTTTTCAGAATCCCAAGAGAACATTTAAAACTCCAAGCAGAAGGCAGTGAAATCAGCTCAGACACTCTGGAGCTCCACTGGTGGGAAGACTAGCTATCACAAGGGCAACTAAGGACATAGGCAAAATGTTTGGGAATCTGGATTTAAACACCTGAATCCTGCCCAAGTCCTAGATGAACATATGTCCTGTGGTGGAGCTAGGCTGGTACTGTTGAGAATAAGGCTGTTGGGTAGCTGACATGCTAAATAGAAAACTGTAACAAAAAAGAGGAATCATGCTTATACTAAAATGGAAAAAAAATAAGAGATGACAGTGTCATGTGATTAGCATCCAGTCACATAGGAGGCATGTGCAGAAGGAAGAGATTTAATGTCCTCTGAGTTCAAGTCCAATGTTACAAACACAATTACAGGGTAGAGAACTCCATTCCTGCATAAGTAATAGCAGGTAATGGATGTCTTTTTATCTCTTTGGCACATGCAATACATCATTTCCTATTTGAGGAATTAATTTACCCAGATATGTGGTATACTGAAAATACAGACAGAATTCAGTTACCTTTTTACTGAATTTGTAGTGCTGCAGTAGGAAGGATTACTTTCCAGCTACAAAACACATTTATTTACTGAAGTCTCACACAGCTTACTCATGGGCTCAACTTTACTCCCAAAAGTACAGTGACTTACTGGTTCCTGGGTTTACAGGCTCAGATTTAAAGGAATAATAAAAGGCAGTTGTGTGTTGTATTTGGTGAACGTGTTTCATTTTGTGCTGTTGTTACTTTTACCCATAGGAGATCCCTTGTGTTAGATACCCTCACATCCACGCTCAGGACCAGTTCATGCCCTCCTGAGATGAAGCCCTGAGGAAGGGACTAACAGGAAGATCTTGGCAAGCAACAAAGTCCTTTTCAGGGTATTCAGGGGTCAGGCAGAAAATCTGCAAACTCTGCTCCCTCAGCCACATGCTGGGACACTTGCTCTGTCAGTGCCAAGGATAATCTTGTTTTACAGCTGCCCCTCTATCACTGTAAAAATGAAATGAAGTTATATGAATGAGTGTGGCTGCTGCAAAACAACCTTATGCGAGGTTTAATTTCCTCCGAGTATATTTTCAAATAGAAGAGCAAAGCAAACTATGCATTTCCATTAGTGGCATCACATCCCTAAACCCCCAAGAACATAAACCAGTAATGATACGACAGCAAGACTTTATCCATACAGAGTCAACCCAAAACTCTAAAACTTATGCCCCCTAAAAGAGGATGTTGCAGAGGAATACTGTATCCCTCAGTCATCCTCTAATGACAGTATCTTTTACTCTATCCTGACCTTAACAGGTATGACCTGCCATTCCACTCACCAGCCTTTGTCTCTGAACCTGAAAACTGCCATCCTTTTCTGGTATGAGATCAACTAATATGCAGCTCTGATTTGGGAAAACTGCTAAAGCTCCTTCCACCTCCCATGGCAGGGGGTTGGAACTAGATGATCTCTAAGGTCTCTTCCAATTCAAACCATTCTGTGATGCTCTGCCAAACTGTGGATGCCTGCACCGGGTCTGGCTCATGTTGCTGCCCACCTTCAGAAGTCAAAGTTAACGCAACTGAACCACCACTTCCACCAGATCTATGTGGTATTATTTCAGATGAATAAAACTACCTAAATTGGTTAGAAATGAAAGGTTCATTCAGCTGGATTTGTCCTCAACATGCGTTAAATCAGAAATGTTATGACTTGTAAGCCCTTTAAGATAGGAGTTGTGCCCCCACTTGTTTAACAAAGCATATACTTATAACCTCGTGTTAATGTCATCTGACTTAAAATGGTAATGAGCACTTAAAAAATTCTGATCAATGAATTACTGGAAACCCCTAAGAAATAGGAAAATAACACCCACGGGATTCCCTCCCTCCCTTCTCCTAGGAATATTTCAAATATTTCCTGATGTATTTCCTAAAAACTGCATTTTTGGCAGATGTCCCACTGTTGCACATACATTGTGGTGAACATGGGGTGATTTAGAAATTTAATTAGCAGACAAATCAACATCTGTGATACAATACTGGCAGAATGACTAAACTCTGAACTGAGAAATGGTGACCACTTAAGCAGAGTGGGCTTTAGTGGAGCAGAGGATTCAGCAAAGAGCGATTGTGGCAACATTTGGGAAGCTGAAGGATAACAAGATACTATGACTTGTAATTCCTCTTTTTAGCCATTTGCTTCCTACCCCACTTTTGGGCTAAAAAGCAAGACAAAGTTCAAGAGCAGCACCACAGAAACAAGCATACTAACTCTCTTGCTCTTTTTCCAAGTATCTTAGCCCACTTCTGCCCAGACCAGAGACACTGCTCCTAGTGACAGCTGGACACTCCTAATGGTCTTTGGAAAATGAGACTATTACTCTAATGCTTGTCACACCAGTGAAAACCTTAGTACCTTCCAGTCAAGTCAAATTACCTTTCCAGTTCTGCTCTTCAGCTGTCTGTGTTTATGGATCTCTTATTTCCAGTTTTGTGTGGTCTTGTTTGGGTGGGGGTTTTTTAATTAATTTTTAATTTTTATTTTTTATTCTTTAATCCCACCTTTGCAAAGCCCCTCACATACAGAGCTTTGCACCACTGGCCAGGCCCACACAGCAAAGCAGGTGAAATGACTAGCAGGATACAGACTTTAGTAATTTCTCATTGCTTTCTTCCCCTCTGCATGTGCCTATTCCAACTCTGAGTGCACGAGGATGTTACACAATTAATGCTGGGAGAACATGAACTGAAGAACCCTGGTTTCCCACAGACTTATACTGAGGCTGATAATGAGCTGTAATTGAAACTTTTCTCATTACCCAGACATTTATACCGTCTCTCAGCCATGTGAATCGCTGTTTAATAAGAGGCAAGTTCATGTTACAGCCTTTGGGACATTTACAGGATCTCTCAGCCCTACCCAGCTGCCTATTTTCATGAAATAACTTAATTATATTTGAGATAGATTTGGGTGAAACTGCCCAACAGCTTCAAAAGTTATTGGAGAAGTAAAGGAGATACAGCTAAGCATGAGCACATAAAGGCCCGTTTCCATAGGAACCCAGAGGGAAAACAGCAATACGATTTGTGAAAAATTTCATTGCAGAGTCACTTTAATTGAAATTTTAAAAATATCCGACCAGCTTTAAATCATGTGCCTTCACACACGCTACATTCCTCCTGCCTCCCCCATTCAATACCCTGCCTGCAGACCCCTGCCTCCACATACCCTTGCAGCCTTGCAGGCACAGAAACTATGCTTCCGAAAGTCAGGAGGTTGCTCTGCCTGTGTTTTGTCAGTCTCCCCTTCACATGGAAACTGTTTTTTCTAGCCAAGGCAAGCTTCTCAGGAAGACGTGCCAACTGCTACACTCCACTGCTTGCACACGTGTCAGGCATATGACAGAACTAATTAAAGGGAGAGCCCACAGGAGGAGCGGGATGCGTATCACCTGCAGAACAACATGCATCCCGGTGCTTCGGGAGAGCAAGGCTCTGGAGGCTGGGAGTGTCGGTCCTTGGCCACCAAGGTCATTTGGGGCTTAAGGGCAAGGAGCATACGGCAAACCGAGTGATGGTGGTGAACAACTGGTGTGTGATGGTAAGTTTTATAGACCAAAGTGCCACCGCTCTCCTTGTTACACCCTCCTCAGGTGTAGTAACACCTTCTGGGTACCAGCTCCTGTCTCCTGTGCTAGTAACCTGCGCTAACAACTGTGCCCATCTACAACTTAATTGAGTGTGAGACCTCTGAACGGAAGGAAACCTCTCAGCAAGCGTTATTAACACCGAGACACACGTGTAAACAGCTGTCACTTGTTTTGGGGGCACAACTTATAGCCCATCCGTCGCTACTGCATCCTTCCCTGCCACGAGCAGAACACGGACCGCAGCATCCGTGCCTCTTCCTCTCCATCTCGGGCTCTTCCCAAACTCCAGCAGACCACCCGTCCGGTGCCCCTCACCCCAGGCCCGCTGCCGGCTCGCCCGGCGCAGCGTCTCCTGGACTGGCCAGGACCCCCCCGCGCCATCTTGCCCGCGGGCGCCCCCTGTCGCAGGGGCCGCTCCCAGGTGTGCCGGTGCAGGGGTCACCGCTCAAGCCCGCCCGGTGCCTCGCTCGGCCCGGGCCGCTCTCCGCCCGTTGCCGGCCGTGCCAGACAGCCTCTCTCTCGGCCTTCACTACCGGGTCAGGCGAGGCGGGAGCGGCGAGGCAGCGCCCGCCTCGCTCCGGCACCGACACCGACACCCCTCCTCCTCTCCCCCCCTTCTTCCCCCGCCGCGGCCGTCCCTCCCTCCCTCCTCCCTCCCCGCTGCCAGTTTCTCTACAACTAGTACATCCACGCTCTGCAGGGTCCCGGCCGCCGCGGCTGCCATGGATATCAGCTAAAGCCGGCCGGAGAGGGCAGCGAGGCGCTCCCCGACCCAGGTCCGCAGCCCCGCGGGGCCGCCGCGCCCTCCCTCCCGTTGGCCGGCTGCTCCCCGCCCGCCCGAGCCTGCCCCGGAGGAGCCCGGCTGCCCCGGGGAGGGGGGGGGACGAGAGGGAGGGAGGGAAGGAGCACGGAATATACCGGGAGGTAGTCGGGCAGAGCATCCCAACGGCAATGTCCAAGGGCTTGAAGAAGAAAAGCCACTGGACGAGCCGAGTCCACGAGATTGTGATCGTGAGGAACCCGGAGGGGCAGCTGGGCTTCGAGCTGAAGGGGGGCGCCGAGAACGGGCAGTTCCCCTACCTGGGGGAGGTGAAGCCCGGCAAGGTGGCCTATGAGGGCGGCAGCAAGTTAGTGCCGGAGGAGCTGCTGCTGGAGGTGAACGAGACCCCTGTAGCCGGGCTCACCATCAGGGATGTGCTGGCCGTGATCAAGCACTGCAAAGACCCCATCCGGCTCAAGTGCGTCAAGCAAGGTAAGGCGGGCACGGGCTGCCCCCCACCTCCGCTGCCCCACAGTCCCCGGAGGGGCCGGGTCAGGTCTGGGGATAACGGGGGGGACCAACTTTGTTGCTGCAGTTTGACTTTCCCCCTGCCCGCCGGCGGGGGGAGGATGCGAGCGGCGCCGCGCCGTGCCCGCAGCCCGGCGAATTAAATGTGCGTCAGTGGCAGCGCTTCGCCATGCGGCGGGAGGGGCCGCACTCCCCGCACCGGCTGGTGCCGCTGCCGGGGCCGGTGCGGCTGCCGGGGACGGCGGCGGAGCGGGGTTTCCCCTCCGCTTCGCGCCGGCCGTCTGGGCGTGGGGGTGTGCGCTGCGCGCCCGGTCCCCGCGGGCACCCAGGGCGGCTGCAGCATCTCTCAAATGTCATGAGCGAAGAAGTCACTCATCTGCTACCCGGTGAAAGCGATCTCTAATTCGAGAGTACGTGGAGAGCAGCAAAAGTGGGAGTGAGAAGCGAAAAGAAACTTTTGGGAGGGAGCGATCTACTTTTGCCTCTCCTCTGCTTCTCCTGTTTATTTTCGAAGTACTGTAATAGGTTAATGTGTTTCCAGGAAAGTCAGTTAAGAAGAGACGCCGCAGATGCTGTTTACATGTGTGTTACTGGCTTCTTTAAGCTATGCTGAGTTGGGCTGTTTGCGGCTGAATGCTTGTAAGGAGGTTTCTGCTACCCCAGTAGCGTTTGAAGCACAGGAGCTGTTAACTGCGCTGGGAAACGAGTTTGTAGGTGCTCCTTGACCGTGGATGGTGCAGCGGCTGGAATCACTAAAGTACACGATTCAACCCGGCGCTGAGCTCAGCCTCGAAAAAGTTGGGGGTTTCCGTGGTGGGAAGATGTTAGATGCTTTGTATCAGAGGCACCTGTGCTTGGTAACTGTAGCCTGCAGCCTCAGAGGACGTACAGGAGAGTTCCCCTTGACGTTCCGTGCATATTGTTTCAAGTGTCATCTGTGACAAGTCTGGATGCTTGAAGGATATGCCTATTAACGGTTTATCCAACCGCAACAGAACCAGTAGAAAGAATCTGACTTTCACTCAGGCTTTCAGAATGTACTCTATGATATATTCAGTTACATGCATAAGGTCAAACCTCTAAATACAGACATGATCTGGGATTTTTCTGTTTGTCCTGTAGGGTAAGTTGTGCAATATGTTATAGATTGTATCTTTGTAGTCAGGCAATGCAGGGAGACACAGTAGTTCAGGATTAGAAAGGAGTACAATGGATTCTGTCATTCAGTATAGTGTCATCTCTGGGCACCTGAACTCCAGGAAACCTGCTCTATAGTTTCTTCTTAGTAATAATTTTAGCATGAGTGGTCTTACTGTGATAGGATTCAAAAAGAAGCAGCAGTAGAAGTATTAAGAAGATAGGGGTACACAGCCATTTACTGCGTGAAACAGTCTCTGTCCCACCTCTTCACTGTTGTTCTAATATTTCTCTTAAGTCAAAGCACTCAGCAGTTATTCATTAATGTGTATACCCTTAATAAAGATATCTGTCATACAGCGAATTAGGGACATTAGTCAGGCTTTTAGTCTGTGGGTAGCTGAAAGTTTCTTGAATGAGACATAGAGGATGAATTCTAAATTCCACCTAGTATCTATCTATCTATCTATCTATCTATCTATCTATCTATCTATCTATCTATCTATCTATCTATCTATCTGTGAGTTTCACTCCAGTATGCAGTCCATTACTCTTTTAATGCATGTTGTCAAAGCACTGGCCAAATGTCTCTGTGTTTGGAAGTGAGTTCAGCACAGATTCTTGGACTGAGAGAGACTTCCTTGCTGGAATGATCTTTCTTGTGCTCCAGCATCCTTCAGTTCGCCAAAGGGAGAGGCCTTCTGGATCCAACTTCCTATTTTTTAAAAGGTCACTGGTTTGTGTATTTTACTACCTGACTCCTCCTCCAGTATAATTCAGTCTAATCTGTGCACCCCTTGGTTGCAAAACACAGACAGCAGGCATCTACATTAACACATTACTATTCCCTAACACATTACTATTCCCTAACACATTACTATTCCCTAACACATTACTATTCCCTAACAGTACTTTGCAGTAGTGTGTAGGAGAAGAAAACCTGGGCAGTAAAACCTGTGTATGTTTTTGTAACTTTCCTTCTCAATTATGAAACACCTTTCATGTGCTGGAACAAGGTTAATGACTCTATTATCGTTGTTTCTGGGTAATTTATCAATGATATCTCTGTCAATTAGAATAGCGTGACCTTGAATGCACCATGTTACGGTAGCTGCTTTTTCAGTGCTGCCTAGGAATGAAGTCAGAGAATGTGGAGGTAGGACACTACTATTTATGATGTGATGCTTAAGAGACTGAGTATTCTCTTGTTTGAAAGCTTTGATATTTCAGTAGTGAAAATTCACTTGTAAATGAAGTCAGGGAATGGCTAATTCAGTTTGCAGGAGTTAGCTGTTTTTAAGTATGGAAAATAAAGGTGCTTTCATGTTTTTTCATTACATTTGAATAAAGGCCCCCCTTTTTGAAATAATAAAACACTTCATCTTTTCCCACATTACAAGGGAAATACTTCTTTTAATATTCCAATGGCATATTGCTGGTTTATATGAGCTGAACATCCTGAGCTAAAAATACTCTTAGAAAAAAACAATCACAATGTGGGAGTTGCTGTATATCATCAGGAGGAGTAAACCTCATGAGATAATTAGCACTTCCACAATATGATCTGACATAGAACTCTCCTAAGTGTGACACCCAATAAATAAGGTTTTAATGCAGGAAACTGTTGCCTGGTTTTGCATGGGGAGAAAAGATTGTAAGAACCATTATTGTTGTTATTTTTTAATCTTAATTGTAAGAGTTTGCAGAGAAGTATTCCTTGGAGGCTATTTCCTGTTTGGGTTTTCTTGTTAGCATTTTTTTTTTTCATGAGGCACTTACTGTGCTACTGTTGGCAGAGTCACAGAGATTCTCTTAAAACACATGGGGTGAAATCTTGGCCCAGATGAAGTCAATGGCAAAACGGTCCTTGACATCAAATAAAAAAAGGCAGAATTTCCTCTGTAATGTCAAATGCTTTTTTGAATATATACCCTTTCAGTGAGAGAAGTGAAAGTAGTCAAAGTAGTTGGGCATATTTGCAAATGTTACGCATTCTGACCTTCTACTCTCTCTGGTGAAGAAAAGAGTGTTACTGTTTCTGATAGAAATACTTCTGAATTTCAGATGTGATTGTTTTTATATGTAGAGCAGTTCAGATTAAGTACTGTCTCCTTCCCACAGATGCGTAGTTGTAAAAGTAGCAATGTGTTAAGGAAAAGCATCCTAATTTGGATAAGTAGTCACACGGGGAAGAGTCATGTGAGGAGCAATGTTTTCTCCAGTTCCACTCTCTGTTCATCACTGCCATCTCAGACCCACAATATCTTTCTCTAGAGATTCCATCAGTAGGCAACGCAGGTCCGTGATGTGCAGAAGATTCCAGTGTAGCTTTGGTTTTAGTTTGAAGGATTGCAAGAGCAGCCAACTCAGTTGTACTGCATAAACTAGGATCTTTATTCTTTGCATAGAATTATAAACTTCCACAGATGCCTTCAGCAGAATTCCAAGGAACAGCCTGAAAACATGGATTTTGGAACTCAGGAGCACTGAAGCAGATTTTGTCCTGGAGCTGCTGCCCGACACATACATACTGAGTTAACCAGGTGGTCTAGCTGACCATTTTCATTTACTTTTAGAGTTATTTAGTGGCTGGACCATATGAAATGCAAATAATATTGATGCTTTTCACGTTCTAATGTTTGATTTAACTCTAAATGATCAGACTTTAAGCTTCAACCCACAATGCTATAGCTCTTTATGCAAAAAGGCATGTAGTACATGTAATGTAAGGAGGA